CAGAACGAAGTCAAACCTTATCTGCAACTGGACAAATTGCGCGACGGAATGTTTTGGGTTGCGGGCGAGCTTTTCGATTTCAAATTTACGCCTGTTTCAAATGTTCCCGTTTATCACGCGGACGTAAAAGTTTGGGAAGTTACGGACAAGAAAAGCGGAAAACACGTCGGGCTTTGGTATTTCGACCCGTATGCGCGTGAAGGAAAGCGTTCGGGCGCGTGGATGAACGCTTATCGCGGGCAAGACAGGTTAGACGCGGAAACCACGACCATTGTTTCCAATAACTCCAACTTCGTTAAAGGCAAAGCGGGCGAACCCGTTTTGATCTCTTGGGACGATGCCGAAACGCTTTTCCACGAATTCGGACACGCGCTTCACGGTCTTTCGTCGAATGTTACTTATCCGTCGCTTTCGGGAACGAACGTGGCGCGTGATTACGTCGAATTTCCGTCACAGCTTCTCGAACGTTGGGTTTCAACGCCCGAAGTTTTGCAGAAGTTCGCGCTTCATTATCAAACCGGAAAACCAATTCCGCAAAACTTGGTCGATAAGATCAAGAAAGCCGCAACTTTCAATCAAGGATTCGGAACGGTCGAATATCTTTCGAGCGCATTGGTCGATATGAAACTGCATCTCGCCGGTGCGCAAAAGATAGATGCGGATAAATTCGAGAAAGAAACGCTCGATGCGCTCGGAATGCCGAAGGAATTGGTAATGCGTCACCGCACACCGCAGTTCGGTCACGTTTTTTCATCGGACGGATATTCGGCAGGCTATTACAGCTATCTTTGGTCTGACGTTTTGACCGCCGATGCTTTCGGCGCGTTTATCGAAGGCAAAGGTCCATATGATAAAAAAGTCGGCGCAAGCCTTGTCAAAAACATTTTCTCGGTCGGCAACACGATCGATCCGGCAGAAGCCTATCGTAATTTCAGAGGACGCGACCCGCAAGTGAGCGCATTGATGAAAAAACGCGGATTTACCGTCGCCGAAGCAAAAACATCGGCAAAAGGGAAAACTTCCAAAACGAAAGGGAAGAAATAGTTTTCGGCAA